GTGTGTGTGTATGTGTGTGTATGTGTGTGTGTATGTGTGTATGTGTGTGTGTGTGTGTGTGTGTTTCTGAGTATGCATGTTTGAGCAAGTGTGTGCTCACGTCACCGGGAGGACAATATGTACCTGGTTTGACTGGGAGCTGACATCACGACGGCAGCAAGCACGCATCCTAACAACGGGGGCTTTCACTCAACTACGAGAGGACCAAAACACACTGATCACAAAAAAAAAAAAAACCCACAGGGCAGCGTCATCCTGTTTGTTACAACAGCTCAAGTGCAACTCCTCAGGTTGCTCATTTCCTGGCTGTCAGTGTAATAGCCAGGAAATGACAGCGTCCACTGACCTGCTGATTCAAATCATCGTCACTGTAGCTGGTGGACATCGTTATGTTCGCTGTGTGGACAGATGTGACCGAAGAAGACGGACCTTGGAGAGACATTTAGACTGCTGTTCTGGGGGTTGGATTGCTCTTCATTCATCCATTAATTGTATTTAAAAACTTAAACGTCGGAAATCCACATGCCCTCTGAAGCAACCGAAGTGGGGGAAAAATAAATGCATCGTTAATTGAATAGAGCTTTCCCACTAAAACCATATTACTGTAGAGCTCAAACTACCAGCCGATTAATTGATAGATAGAAAGAATATTCAGCAACCGTCTGATAATCAATCATGTTTCAATCATTTGCTTCTTTTCGGTTTTTTAAAATCAAATTTTAAACTGAATCACTTTGTGTTTTAGACAACAAAAATATATTCATTTTATTGCTTTATAAACAACAGCGGTTCATCATACTGCTGATGAAGCAACATGCAAATATATTTCTGTTGTCTTGTTTACTTTGGTTTGCTCTGCAGCAGCTGGCACCCAGCAGAGAAACACTGCTGTGCATGAGGTATTCTCTAGTTTTAAATTTAAATGGCTGTTTTTATTTTACTATTTTCTGACTTTTTTACTTTTATAGTCAAAATATATTGGCAGATTAATCAATAATGGTCAAAATATGTAAGTTTCAACTGGTTGAGGGCAGAAGATGGGTGTTTTATATAGACAACCTGACTGTATAAGAGTTATATTTAACTATTTTCATTTATGTTTGATCTACACGGATTAAAATGACATATTAGGACACTGAAGTTGAGCTTGTGTGTGTTTGCTGTGCTTATTACTACATTTCTGTGGATACATTTATGTTTTACCAGCTTTCTCTTGATACGATTTCACACGTTGTTTGTTTTCATTGTTGTTTTTACTGTCTGAGCATCCGGGCCGAGAGGCAGCAGTCGAAAACATTTGCTGTTACAGTATTGCTGACACATTCACAGTGAGGTTGATTAAACTGTCTCAATGAAAATAAAGCAGACATTTAGTTAAAGTGGAAGCTCGAGGTGGCCCCATTCTTCACTGTGTGTAACATCTTTCTCTGGAAAAACTAAATCAAATACCAGACGAGGGTGAACTGTCTGCTGTGGAAAAACAACTGCGGCTGGATTATTAAAAATATATGTATGAGTACAACTTTCTGCCAGGTTTCTAAGTTTTGGTCACGCTGACAGTTCATGGTCTTTTAACAGTGGGTGACGTGGCCTGAAGATTCACATGCTGCTGAGTAGAATTGGAGATACTGAAACACTCCAGTGGAGACATCCTGTTTTTAAGACTAAGTCTCATTCCAGGTATTTCTAGTCAACAGAGCATCAAAGCCTCCTGACTCAGGGGGGGGGGAACATCATGACTTCCTACTTGGAAACTTTAAACTGCATCTCATGTCTGGAGGAGAGGAAAAACGTAAGCCTCGGGGGGACAGTGAACTAACTTCTAGATTGCTCAGACGTGGAGTTTATTTGTCTGAATTGTGAAGTGGCAGCTATAATGGGATGACAAATAATTCAAACATGCAATCAGACAGGTTTAAATGGGATTTAATGGGATTTAAATGGCCCTCCGGTTGAGCTCATCAGAGCCACGTGATCATGAGCCAGCGGGACACAGAGGAGGGGGCTGGAGATAAGAGCCAGTTTCCTCATCTTTGATTTAAATTTGTTATCGTCGTGTTTCATTATCAGGGTGGTGCGAGTCCAAAGGCTTTTTAACCACACATCTTTTTTTGTCATATAAAACAAACAAAAGATCCCCCACCGGAGACAAACACTCGTGCAGAAAACCCCCTGACTGACGGGGGTCTTACTCATGTAATTGGCACAACAGCACCTTGAGGATCATCATATCGTGGTAATTAACTACCACAAAACGTTTCTCTGACCGTCTGACAGTCTGAATAGCCTCTACATGGACAGATAGTGACTGTCTTAGTGCACAACAGCTGTATAACAGTAGATATGTAAATACACGGGTGTGAACTGGAAGTGTCTGTGGCAGAAGCTGTGACAGGGTTGTTGACCGGCATGCGTGCAGTGCGTCTAACAGTGTGTGTGAGCAGGGATTTGTGTGTGTTTACATCCCCTCTGGTCCATTGTTTAACTCAAACCAACTCTTCTGCAGCTGTGGAGTAATTTTGCACCTGATTCAGTTCAGAGGAATGTGCCTCCTCCACTTACTGTATGTCTGCCATGATGGCCAGTTGCACAATATTTGTAATTTTCTGGTAGCCAAAGCAGCGAGAGCTCATACATGTGAATAAAACACTTCGTGTCATTGTCCAGTGTTGTTGAACTCACCCCTGTACCGTCGTCCGGGCTGCACAGGGACCGGGCCGGAGACAGACTGGACTCGATGTCGCTCCCAGTGAAGTCGTCCTCGGACTCCTCGAAGGACGAGGCGGAGGACAGGCCGATGGAGGAAGAGTTGGACAGCTTCCTGGGGGAGCGCATCAGAGCAGGGGACCCTCCGCAGCCGCTGTCCGAGCAGGGAGACTCATCATCCGGGTGAGGGTCCAGACACGAGCCGGCGTTGAGCTCCGTCCGGGCGGTGGGCAGAGCCGGTGTCCCCACAGAGCGGGTCGGACTGGGGTCTCTTGTTATGATGAGTGTCGGTATGGTTCCTGGGTAACTTTGGCCTCCTGGGGTCCCCTGAGGGGCCTGAGGCTGCTCTGGTTCAACCGGACAGCAGATGTCTGGGTCCCCGGTCGCTTTGGGCGGACATGAAACAGCACTACAGTCAGTTTTAGTCATTTCGGGCTCAGTGTGGTCCGCCACGCACAGTCCACTATCCAAAGGTTGATCCGAGCCGGACAAAGTCCGCTTGGTGTCCGGGTCAGAGGTGAGCAGCGGGGCTGCACTCACACCACCCCCAGTTAATTGCCCGACCCCAGACACAACGCGGTTGTTTCCCCCCAGTGGCTGATCTTCCATGGCCCTCGCCGGGGGGTCCGAGGCATTGTCCTCTCGCCCGGGTTTCGGCTCCTCGCCTCCCGCACTGCTGACTTCACCGGCCCGCGTTTCCAAACCTGACGCATCGGACGGACCGGCCGCTGCCTCTCGGTTCACACCGTGTTTGACAGCCTGGGTGCTACCATCTGGGCCGGGCGGTGTCTGGAAACAACCCGGGGATGCTCGCTGTTCTCCGACCGCCGACGCTGCCTCGTCCCTCGGCAACTTTCCTACTCTGTGATCGCGGCGCGTCGCTGGATCTCCCGCTTCGTTTCCGCAACTTAAATCCGCCTCAGTCTGACTCGAGTCTCGCTTTCTCCTTCCCAAACACGACAGCACTTTGTTTTTCATCGGATTCCTGATTATCCGCTCACTCCGTCGCTTCTCCCCGCTCCTGAATCTGCGGATACGGAGTCGCCGGGCTGCCTCGCCTGCTTTCCACTTCTCTCTGCCTGGCGTGGTGGCGGTGTGCGATAGATCCGAGCGAGTTTGGCCCATCCCGCATGCCGTAGTAGTAACCAGTGACCCAGACACACCCTCAGTTAGCTGGTTGAAACCACTTATGGTGACTCCTACAGTTCACAGAAATCCATTAGTCACACCATCCATTCATTAGGCCTGGGAAGTCATACATTGCTCCATGCTGGGATCTGTGAGAACAATCAGATGATTCATAAATTAGTAAACACATTAGCTGCACGAACAATGTCCTAATATTACATTACACTCCCTAGTGCATTAATCACACTGATATGTATATATATATATGTGTGTGTATATATATATATGTATATATATATGTGTGTATATATGTATATATATGTGTGTATATATGTATATATGTATATGTATATATATTATTAAAAAAGAAATATACTTCACGCCATTCAAATTGTCCTTTCCAAACACACTAGGCACCTGCAAACTGTCAAAAGTTCCCATCACACACATTTGCTGGAAAA